CCAGCTTACAGTAGGGGCTCTCCAAGCCAGCAGTAAAAACCGAGCAATGCTGGAACTTCCATGGGACTCTGGAAAGAATTCCACTGAAAGTACAGGTTTTAACATTTCTAGCTGGCTGACACAAAAGATCAATCTAAGGAGCACCAATTTTCCAAAAGAAATTTAAAAAATTGGAAGAATTCCAAATGTGACATCTACTGAGAATTCTTAAAAATCTGTATAAACAGCTGAAGAATGGGTTTCTCCAGAATTCTTTCCAGAACAGTTTTTCTTTGCACCTAACCTTACATCCATTTTTTCTTTTTCACATTAGCTACTAGGAAGCTCAAAAGTAAAACTTAGAGTGATCAATGTAGCCCAAGTTCCATATGTGTGTGTGATATAGCATATGTGGTATGCTGCATGCATGTATGCGTGAATATGTGCATGTGAGCGAAGTTCTCATTTGTGTGAACATGTTGGCAGGTGCATGTGAGTGTGTATACGTGCATCTATGTGCACGTGGAGGTCAGAGGTTGACATCAGGTGTTGGGAGCCTGTTATGCAAAGTGGAAGCCCCTTCACACCGGACAGCTCATGCAGCTCGGGAATTATGTGCTGCGGGCTCCTTTCATAGCGGGGTGTCTTCCTGGCATCTTTCCTGTCTCTCCTTTTGAAGTGTCCGCCACGAATGCCATAACATAAACATGGCCTTTGGCTCTAACAGGTACCATGCCTTCCTGTAATTTTTCCTAGCAGACAGCAGTCTGGCAGAAACCCACTTCCATATGTAAATACAATGCCTCACAAAGCATCTAACAGCCAAAGCTTTTACCACTACCCCCATGGTATAAATGCCTTAGTCTTCTCTTAATGGTCAGAGAATTGGGCTGCAGAGATTCGGGCTGCAGAGAACTGGGTCGCAGAGAGCTGGGACACAGGGAGCCGGGTCTCAGAGAATAAAGCTGTAACACAGACTAAGACCTGAGTCTTGTGTCATTACCGGCGGCCCAATCTCTCCGGGGGGGCGCACTCCCTCGTGACCGGCTTACAGACACCCTAGCTTTTGCTGTCTCCGTACTCTTCCCTGCGTGGTTCTGTGGCCAGGAACCTCGCATCCTGAGGAATAGTACACGGGTGAAATAGAGACGGGATTTCGGCTGAACAATGCTTCAGTAGCAGAGGAAGCTGTCTGCACCAGAGACTTGAGCCGCTGGGAGAAGCCTGCGGGGGCATCCCAGCCGCAGCCAGAGACGCCTGTGGCCAGACCCACCAGCGACTAGCCAGGTGTGGCAGGGGCCCCAAGATCCAGGGGCCCAGAGCACCCCGAGATATCCACGCACACCACGCCTGAGGCCCATAGAGACACGGAGAAGCCAACGGGACCAGACCAGCATTCCTCCAGACGCACGGCGGCGGGGGAGTGCCATCCCGGGAGTGCGCCCAGAGAGTGCGTGCACACCTGTGGATCCACCTTGCCATTCGGGGGAGTGTGCCCAGAGAGAGCGCGCACCCCCATAATCAGGAACCTTCCTCAATTGTTCTTCACTTTATTTATTAACAGGGTCTCTCACTACGGCTAGGTTACTGAATCTGATGGCTCTCCCACGTGGGTCACCAATGCTGACTACTCTAGGCAGCTTACCCCAGGGATCTTGATGCTGGGATTAAAGCTGCCCTGCTTTCCTGTGGGTTATGGGGATCTAAACTCCAGTCTTCACGTTTGCATGGTTGAGCAATCTTGCCCACCCTTTATCTGCTTCTTTTAATTCGTTTGGGCTCTGTTTAAAACTGGGCCAAACTCAAACGTGTTTTTATAAAAAGAATTTCTGAATCCTTAATAAGATAGTTTTTCTTGGCTTAATGGAAACCCAGTCCCAAACATTGCAGAGGGGAGGGAACACCCTCCCCACAATATGTGGCTCTTGGGGGTTGGCTGTTTCCAAGTGTCTCAGTGCACTACAGAGGAGAATGAAGGCTGATGGCCAGGAGATCAACCCTAACTTTTACTGGGTAAACTGATGACATCCATTTCAGAAAATTACAACCTTCAGCCACACTTTCTCCCACACCATCTATTACCATAGACAAGGGGTGTCTCTGCCAAATGCCATGGAAAGGCTGACTAATGATCCACCTGGAACCTGATTTCATCAATGTTCAGCCCAGGGAGCATGACAGCAGGACCTAGGAGAAGTCTATGTAAGGTAGTGCAGAGACCAACCCAAGCTGAATAGACAGGCGTGCAATGTAGGAGCGTAGAGTCCAGACAGGGCCTGGCAGTGCTGAGAGACTGCAGAAGGCCATGTTTACCAAGGACCACAAGCTGTCACAATCACCCAAGTGTCCCTCACCCACTGTGTTCTGATCACCACACAGGTGGTGGGTAGTGTTAGCTGTAAAGCTCCCAGGTAGTAGTCTGCCCTGGGTGGAAGCTCCTGACATCAACCATGGTATAGCACAGGGGTCTTCGGGGAATAGAGCATGAAGCCAGGCTGCTCACTCTGCACTTACTGACCTTGGCTCAGCCTCTGTAGGCTTGTAAAGGGCAGGGTCACTCCCAGAAGAGGCCTGTGTTTGGCATCAGAAGGTGAATAAAGCTCTTCCCCAAACTAAAACTGTAATGACAGGGTCCAGAGCTGCATGCTGCCAAGGAGCCCAAGGTGCCTTAATTTTCCATTATTCAAGGGAAAGGATCAACTAGAAGGGACCCCATAGTGCTTCCCATGCAAGTAGCTGGTAGAGTCTCCTCCCTTCTACCCCTCTGAGCATCTGTATACTGCCAAGCTGTGCACCTGCATCTCTGGCCCTCTCCCATGGGCCTTGCTCTGCTAATTCAGAATCACAACATGGCTCCTGCCATGGCCCATTATTGCCAACTGGAGGCCACATCCAAGAGAAGCAAGCACTTTTGCTAACCTCCAATAAGAAATCAGTTCCCTTGTCAGGAGTGATGGGGCATACCTGTAGTACCAGCACTTGGGAGGCAGAGGCAGGCGGATCTCTGTGAGTTCAAGGACAGCCTGGTCTACATAGTGAGTTCCAGGACAGCTGGGGCTACAGGGAATCAGTTCCCATGTGAACTTCTGAGATGAAATAAAACCAGTTCTGTCCAATGCCTTTGCCTGTACAGACATCCCTCAGACCCCATCTTCATCCTTTGTTCATTGCACGGTGTCCCTGTCATCCTATCCTTTGTCATAGCTCCAACTATGTGTCAGCTGTAGCCAAGACTCCACTTCTGGCAACAGACACATACACACATAGATAGACATCAACAAGCCCCAGGAAGACTCCGTGTTAACTCCTCAGCCACTGTGGGACAATAGCTGTATCAAGCTGGTGCCTACTGCCCTCACGTGGAGAAACAGAGCACAGAGCATACCACTTGCCCAGGTGCTCAGCATGTACACCAGAGCTACTAGTGGCCTGAACTGCTATAAACCCATGTATCCACACTGAGCTGCACCTGCACTGAGCTACATCTGCCTGAGCTGCACCCGCACTGAGCTATATCTGCCTGACTTGTCACTGCCTAACATGCAGCTGTACCAGGAGGGAGCTCATCAGACAAACTCCACTGAAACCCAGATAGGGAGACAGGGCCAGGAGAGTACCCAATAATTGGGTTCCAACACCCTGGACAGCCACGTCAGAGAAACGGTACTAATAGCCCAGGGACAGTGACAGAAGACAACAAACCTGGCCTAGGGTGTACCGTTTCATAGAGGAGTATCTTGGGGCCCCCATCTTGGAGACCCTCCCCACATCCATGTCTAGGACCTGGAGAGGAAGGAAGACTGGGGCATTGGGGACCCTGGCATGTACCTGGCAGATGCCAGGATTAGCTCAGTCTCTTTTATGCCCTGGCTCTGGCCTGACCTGGCACTGTGCTGGGCAGATGTCAGAGGGCATGATAAAGAGCCCAGGGACATGGTATCTTAACTCAGGTTATCTTTACCAACCCAGCAGGACTCAGCCTGACCTGTAATGTTAGGGATGCTGTTTGTACTCACACAAAAAGAGGATGGGTTCTCTCCTGACCTGCTGTGCCCATGCTGTTAGAGCATCAGGCACCCCCAGGAGCTGCATCCCTAGGGTATGGGAGGGGATGAGCTTCAGTTTACATATTCCAAATGGCTGCCTCCCTTTGTACCCTGGGGTGCTAACAGGTCAGCTTCTGGTGGGCTGCTCACCCTTTCCCAAGGCTGTGGAGCTTAAAAATACTCCAAAACCACCCTGAGGAGCCAAATCTAAGGGGGATGTGAGGCAACACTGACCCTTTATTTCTCTGGTCTGCAGGTTATACTTTGGCCAGGGAATTCTACCCTGACACCCTAAGGATGCCACGTGAGCCTAAAGTCAGAGGCCACTGCTGCCTCAAACTCCCTTGCACACACACCCACATACACACGCATGCACGCACGCACGCACGAATGCACAGTTCCCAGGTCAGAGAGAAGGTGAGGTGTGCTCAGCCAGGACCAGGAATCAGCCCCAAAGCACTTCCCTAGCTCCAGTGACTGGAAAGTCCCTTGCTCCTCTGGAAGTTAATTTGTAAAACATTACTCAGAGTTGTGAGAGTTTAAACTGCGCAGTCTGGCTGAGCAAGTGTGCTGCTCCAAAGAGAAACCGTGTTGGGGGGGTGGGAAGTGAAGAGAGGGAAGCTGGGGACTGTAGATGGCCTGCTTCACCTGGGAATGCAGCCCTCTGGCTCTCCTGACAAAGTACCATGGTCACGTCCTGTCTATTCTGCATTCCAACCACTGCAACTGGGCAGGTCCTCAGGCTAGAAGACAAAGGTAGCCCCAGAAACGAGTCAGATGGTGCCAGACCTCACACCCAGATCCTCTTTGCTTTGAGCCAGAATGCCCAACAGGTCAACAGAAGGTTTTAAGAGTCCTGCAAACACTGCTCATAATTTTGAAATACTGACAGAATCACTCACCCATACAAAAGTGCCCACCTAGAGGGGACACCCAACCCCTGTTCCCAGGGAGGCACCATTCCTCTTGACTCACCTGGCTTGTGGCGCCCTGAAGCTCCCCGGCGCTTTCTTGGCAGTGACCAGAAACGCCGCATGGCCCCCCAAGATGTACCCTTCTCTGCCATTGAGTTGCCCTCCTGAGGGTTAGGTTGCTTTCAGGCAGAGGCTCAGTGACTCTTCAAGACCAGGTCACGTATGAGCCCAAGGAGCCTTGAGGTTCCTGTGGCCTATAGGTTTCCACAGTCAGAAACTGTGCAGGTTCTGGTGACCCACAGGAGGCACCTTGGTGCGAGCTGTCACGAGAAACAGATGCTGATTTCCTCAACGACCTTGGGTTTTACCAAGTCATGAGAAAGAAGAGTCAAGGGACCTCTTGAGCTTCCAGTCTCCTCAGTCCTCGGGTCCCAGAATGTCCTCTTGCAGCGTACAGAGTCCCTGCACCTGCTGTTTGCCTCACAGATGGTGGAGGAAAATGCTGCGATACTGTTTCAGACTCGAACAGAGAGGGAAAGGCTGTGTCCACCCCTCTGTGCAAGAATTCTGAATGCTTCCTTCCTTAGACAGGGCTGTGCGGACAGAGCTGCAAACACCAGGGAGCTGCTCCAGCCAGAAACACCTTCCAGGCCTCAGGAAGTCTCAAGTTCAAACAAACAACTACAAACTGGGAGGAAGGGAGGGACTGGCTGCTGGCTTTTTAAAAGAAGTCGGGAAGTTCCCCAGTCTGCTGTCCAGAGGAAATGGTGAGGCGCCCAGCTTGGCAAGGACTCTTTCCATGAGACAGGCCTAGCCTCCCAAGCCAGTGGCTCCAGACCTCTGCCCTGATGCCCACAATGCTTCCAAGGGGAAGTGAGGGGAGAGCACCAGGGCTTCCAGTGATACCTGGTTACTGCCACCTCTGCCTCCATGTGCTCTGCACATCCTTGGACTTCAGATCCTCATGACTGATTTCCCAGGCAGTTCATTTTAGCACCGCTTTAGGCATGAAAACAGAGGTGCCAAAGGATTAAGTGTGCTCTTTACTGTTGTTGATATCCTTATCGGTTTCAGGTACAAGAGACAGTGGCAAGGGTGGAGACTTGCCTGGTCCCTGCCCCTTCTGCCCCCCCCCCCCGCCCAACTCCCGCCCCCCCCCCCCCCGCCCCAATCCCCAAGAGCCCATGTGAGGAGCAGTGCCTGGATTGCAGCAGGGCAATGCATGTCTGCTCTCTGTCAAGCACAGTGCCCCTCTTCCCAGGACCTGCTTCTCACCTGTCCTCCCGCTGGGGTCCGGGGGATAAGGAAGCAGCTACTTCCACTCATAGGAGGGCTGCTGAGATGCCCACTGTCAGCATCCCATAACAGGTGCTTCTGTCCAGAGCAGTCTGTAGTTAGATCTGCATGTCTGAGTGTGACTGGTGAGCATGGCCAGCTGTCCTTGAAGAGACAGGCCCTCTCCCTCCTTCTCCTACCTCGTGCATCCATGGAGACTGTTCTCTGGCCTCAGCACAGCAGCTTCTGGGGCCACCATCAGAACCCAGCAGACTAGGCCTACCAGCTGTATCACAGAAGGCCAGAGAGAAACACAAAAGGGGGCATCTCCACTCAGAAGTCAAGAAAACCACCAACCAATTGGGAGGGAAGCTCCACTTGCCTTGATGGGGCTTGCGCCTACCTCTGCCCTTGCCCAGGCAGATGCCCAGCCTCACCCAGAGTCTCCACAGTCACAGAGAAACAAGACACATTTAATGAGGCACTTCCAGGGCCCAGGACTCTTCTGATGGTAGGGGATCGAGCCTTAAACACTTGATCCCACAGAAACCAGATTACCACGCATCCACAGAAACCACACATGAGCAGTTAGTTGGATCCATGGGCTGGGATCAGTCCTGACGCCTCTCTCCACCCTTCAGGCAAGTGTTGAAGTACCACAGGGCATGAAGTTTGGACATAGGACCATGTGCTGAGCACTGTATACACTCAGCACATACCACTTCACAGCATTTCCACCTAGCTCAAGTCTCTCTTCCCACATGTTTTAAAGACAGCCCTAAAACCTTCTTCAAAAACTCATCCTGAGCTATGGTCCCTACCTATAACCTGCTCATTTCTTCTTCTTGTGTAGTCCTGTGAATACCTCGGAGAGCCTGCCATGGTAACCCAGCAACTGATGGCCATTTTCTGCCCTTTGCTCATTGGTAGACCCCTGTGACAACACACAGACATGGCAGAGATCCAACTTCTTACTGTATTACACTGGCCACCTAAGGCTCCCCAAGTGGGCTGGGAGCTTATGCAATCATGGGCTACTTGAGGAGTGGGTCAACTTCTTAGGACCTCTGAGTGTATTTTACAGTGTAGCCTCAAGTTACTGTTAAGAAATTTATATTAGTAAGTTGTAAAGCTGCAAGCAGTGAAAAAAGTTTTTACTCACTGTGTCTGGGGAGCAGGGAGCCATTGTGTAGGCCTCATATCAGTGAGCTGCAGGGTGAGCAGAGAGGCCTGGCTTGGGGCTGAGCACAGCCAGTAAGGCCATTGCTCTACAGGAGAGGGACTAAAGTGCACCTTGGTGCCAGAAAAGGGTTCCCCGCTTTGCAAACACTTCATAGAGAAAAGGACACATAGAGGTGGATAGATTTCCTCTGAGCAGCACCCAAAAACCCCTGTGGCCATAGGCTTGGCTCTACCCACAGACATCCATTCCTCTGATCTAGGCACACTGCCTGCTCTGCCTTTGACTCCATTGGGTCTCTGGGTTTTCCACTCCACAGGACCTGCATGAGGAGACACTTTGTTCTTGTTGCAGTGTGCCACCGCATTGCTGGGAGGAATGCAGAGGCCTAGAAGCAGCCACATGCCTCATGGACAGTCTCTTCACTCAGTCCCAGTCCAGGTCCCTACAGCAAGGTCCAGCGGCTTAGCACACTTGCTAGGAAGGAAGACCTGGGTAGGCCTGTCAATCTGGAATCAGCTTGGTGTTTGTGCCACCATGCGCAGCCTCAGAGTCTGCCCCATTGTCCCAGAAGAGCATGAGGGAGTGACCAGGTCCTGGTCAACAAGTTCTGCTAGTCACTTCTAACTGGTGCTGTGTTCATAGGCTGCTTCGGCTGTGAGGCTCTCTGTGGGGTTTAAGGACAGGCTCTTCCCACCAGCAGAGAGAAAGGTTGGGCCTGGAATTGAAGTGACCAGTAAGGAACCTGCAGCCTCAGATACTGGGGCTCCCAAAGTCCCACAGTTAAACCATCAAAGACAGGGTCTTCACAGAGGCCAGAACTTGTTGCTCTCAAAATGAACATTGATTTATTTAGCATTTTAAAATGTTTTTATTTAGTTAGTTTTATTATTTTTATTTTATGTGTGTGAGTATATTTCCTGCATGCTGTAAGTATACCGGTGTTGTGCAATGCCTAAGGTGGTCAGAAAGGGCTTCAGATCCCATGGAACTGGAGTTATGGATGGTTGTTAGCCACCACATAGGTGCTGGGATTTGAACTTGGGTCCTCTGCAAGAGTAGCCAGTGCTCTTAACTACTGAGTCATCTCTCCAGTCCTGATTTATTTAGCTTTTTAAAATAGTGGCTACAGCACATTGCCCAATCAGGATAACATCTAGCAGGTGTGTCCATCCTTTTGACACTGACGTGACACTGTCAATTACCAAGTTCATCCTAGAGAATCAAGAACCACACAATCAAGTTACAAAAATAAAATAACAAAACAATCTCATGTTTTAAGTATTTTTTTACGATCTTGTATTGGGTGACATGTTTAGCAATCTTGGGCTGTGGGTTGGACACACATGATAGAGAGTATGCCCAAAACATTAATGTAGGAAATATAGATACAGGGGAAGCAGGTAATTCCAGCACTTGGGAGGCAGAGGCAGAAGTATTGCTACAAGTTCAAGGCCAGCTTGGTCTACTATTGAGTTCTAGGATAGCCAGGCTATAAATTAAGACCCTGAATCAAAAGGGGGAGAGAGTTGGGGAGCCAGATCAGTCAGTAACATGCTTTCTGTGTAAGTATGAGGATCTCAGTTTGAATCTAAACAACCATATAGAAAGTTGTGAGCGGTGGTGAGTGCTTGCAATCCCGACACTGGGAGAGGTGAGTTGTGGAGAGAGGAGGATCCCTGGGACTCACTTCGCAGCCAGCTTAACCTAATCAGCAAGCCCCAGGTCCCTGTGAGAGACCCTGTCTCAAAAAACAAGGTAGACAGCTCCTGAGGTACAACATCTGAGGTTCATCTCTGGCACTGGCACACACACACACTCACAAAGGAGGGGCTGGGTGCAGCTAAGGGTACAGTGCTTGCCTACCATGTGTGAGGCCAGGCTCAATCCCCAGCACTACAAAGCAAACAAACAAAAATCTTCAAAGATCAAATATCCTTACAGAATGAGGTGCTATTTGGGGGACTGGTTCTCCACCTCTAATATTCTGCTAACAATGTCATTAATGAAATTTAAAACTGGTTCTTTCCTTCAGAGAGTTAAACAGCACAGCTATGAGGCTTGCCTCTGAAGTTGAGAAATTGGATTTTGTGCTTTGGGGATGGGCCTCATTTCTTTAGCACCATTATTAAGAGAGTAAAGGAAAACCCCGAGCATTTGCTGAGAATCCAATTTAGACACATAAGAGCCAGTGAATCCCTATGACTTACAAAGAACAAATGGCGGGTTTGTGTTCTCCCACTGACAGCTTCAAACTTTCTAGAACGACTCCTCCCAGATGTCTGATTTCCTACTAGCTTATATGAGTTTCTCAGGGCTTGGGCAGGGATTCTCCGAGGAGGACAGAAGCCCTTGTTTTACAGTCTCCTTAGAGAGCTGTGTGCTGAACCTTGCCTGAGGCTTCTCTGTGCCAGAGGTCCTAGAAACTCCACCACCTCAGGGTGGTCCTGGTGACATCAGTCATGTGATCATCACCCATAGAGGGTCACAGCAGGCCAGATGACCAGCAGCCACAGGGCACAGCAGGTTTGCAGAGCCTATGCATGTCCTTCCATATAGCTAGATTTGTCTCTAAATTATACAGATACCTAATATTTTCCTCAGTTGACATTGCCTTCCTAATTCCCATCCCATAACTGCTTCTCTGTGCTCTGCTTGGGTCAGTAGGGGCAAGAAGATACTTCTATTCCCAACAGGGCATGGTTCTGCCTCAGGTAGGCATCCCTTTGCCAACAACAGTCAGAGAACATTTAAAATTCATTTTAATTGTATATGCGTATGTGTGTGTGTGTGAGAGAGAGAGGGTATGTGCACCCAAGCGTGCACATGTGGAGGCCAGAGAAGGATGTCAGGCATCTTCCTCTACCTATCCTTACCTTATTGCTTTGAGACAGGGTCTTTCCCTGAAACTCACCATTTTGGTTAGTGTTTCTACCCCCCCCCACACACACAATTTTAGGGATACAGGCGCACATAGCCACATTGGACTTTTATGTGGGTGTTGGAAATTTGAACTCAGGTCCTCATGCTTGCATAGAAAGTGCTCTTAACCACTGAGCAATCTCCCCAATCTACCAG